CCATTATTATCCTTCCTCCCCTTACTCAGCCTTGTAAGCACCCCCTCTCCTCCCCAGCCTTCCAGCAACTAGCTTATTCAGGGCCCCATCCTTTGGACAGATGCCTGGAACTCTAAACCCAGATGGGAGAGAAATGAAGAAAGAGGACTCCTGCCTGATTTGTCATTGGTTCTTTGCCTGATTTATAGTCATCTGCCCCCAATTTCATTCCAGAACTGGGCTACGGCCAGGCCTTATTTTCCTGGCAGTCCAACTCCTCCCCACCTTTTCTTTCTGTACAGGCATCCAGCCATAGGCCAGCTGCAGGTCAAGGATGATGGCTTATTGGAGGGCCCAAGCAGGTGGCCTTGGCCTAGATGCCGCCCTAGGGAGCTTCTTGTTCCCTAAACTTCCAAGAATCTCTGTTCCCAGATGAGGCATGCTGTCAATTTTTGGCAGAGGACACAAAAATTGCCTCCCTTTCCCTCTTCTGCCTGAAATTAAACCTTCCTTTCCTCTGACCTACAGTGTAGAAGATTCCCACTAAGCTGGACTAAGAAGGCTTTGGGAAATCAACTAGCGTGCAGTTCTGTGTCTAAAGGGGGAAAGACTAAGGTTGTTAACCTCCAAACTAGCTTGTTAAAACCCCTAATGAAACAACCTGTGAATGTCCTCTCCAGCCCTGTGCCCTGGGTGTTCATATCTGCATATTCTGGTTAGATAGGTCCCTGTCAGGATATAAAGCCAATTCTTAGAAGGCCAGATGTGGCAAAGAGACATTTTGCAAATAGCCAGCCCCATAAACACAGGGCCATAGAATAGCTTCCAGAGCTGGTTCAGAGAAGGAAGGTATGAATTGCCTCTTCCAAGTCTCTTCAGGAAGTTGGACTCTTTTGCTCCCAAGCTGTCTGTCGTCTCCACTCCCCCATCTTGCCTGGTGAAAATGTGGGAAACACAGTTGAGTCCTGTTTCCTGCAGGCAGAAGGTGTGGTTATATGGATATCGTGTGGATTATTCCTGGAAGGTGGCCTCCCTGTCCCCTCATCCTTCAGGAGAAAAGGGGAAAGCAGGGTGTGGCTGGGAATTCCACTTTCGAGGAATGAGGCCAGTAGGTGAAGCTCAGCCTCTTAGCCACAGCGTGGCACCATTTACTTACTTTTCTGTGCAAGGCTGATGGGTGGTGGCTGTGAGCAAAGCAAACTGAAAACTCTTGAAACTTTTCAGGGATTTACTTCTGATTTGGTTACTAATATGACAAGGGTTCTTGGGCAAATATCATGCCCACTATGAGCTTTAGTTCCTCATTTTGTAACCTGGGAAGCAGATGGGAGTCCTTAAAGGCTCTTCCAACTTCATTATTCTGCAACTATGTGAGTGTATCCCAACGGTCATCTCAATGATGCAATTTTGGGCTTTTAGGCCACACAGAGAATGAGCATAGAAAAAAAACACAAAGCCCACAGTTCGTGTGTAGAATTGGGGGTGAGGAGGACATGGATCATTGAAACAGGAGGACTTTGCAGTACATGGACCAAGATTTTGCCTGAGTCTTCCATTGTACCAGGGAAAAGATGAGTGAATCATTCATTTGCTGAGTAAAAAGTGACTGACCACAAACTTGGTGCTGGGCAGTGTGTGATGGAAGAAAGGGTGTGGGTGGTGGGTGGGAGTGGAGTGGACAATGGTAGGACATCAAGGTGAATATACCCCAGAGGTAGAGAAGTAAACAAACAACTAGCACACAAAGGAGAATGGAGTTTATACTAAGTAGAACTATAACTTGCTAGGAAGATGGAGAGAGAGGAAGAATAAATTCTGACAGAATGGTAAGAAAGGGGACCATTTTAGCTGGGCTTTTAAAGATGAACAGATTTTTCCCTGGCTGGTATGGCTCATCATCCTGTGAACTGAAAAGTCACAGACTCGATTCTCCATCAGGGCACTTGCCTAGGTTTTGGGTTTGGTGCCAGGTAGGGGTGTGTGCAAGAGGCAGTCGATCAATGTTTTTCTCTCTCACTGATGTTTCTCTCCTTCTCTCTCTCCTTCCCTTTCCCTCTCCCCTAAATCAATAAGCATGTCTTCAGGTAAGGATATAAATAAAATTAAGTTAGAAAATTAAAAAATATGAACAGATTTCCGTGTTTGTGTGTTTTGGAGAAAGAGTGCAGGAGGGAGAGGAAAGGCAGGCATTCTTGACAGAAAGAATGGCTTGAGGAAAGATAAGGAGATGAATTAATTTATGCTCTTTGGGGAGAGTAGGGAGTAGTCTCAGATGACAGGATGAATGAAGTGGGAGAGGAGTTTGCAAACATGATTTGTGTCCACATTCTGGGTTTATGGAGACCTTTTCACATGCCTACCTCTGTACAGGGTATAGGAAACATACTCCCAAGATGTGGATAGGGTTCTAACTCTCCAATTTGGGAAAGGCAAGACCTATTCCTCTACTCATGTAGAAGGCTACCAAAGAACAGTGAAGGTGAATGGGGTAGGTGGGCCTGACTAGAACAGAAAGAGGGCCTAGAAGGGTGGTCTTTCTACAGGGGATTCACTCTCCTACTTTCCCCTGCTGCCCAGATGGTGGAGGCTTCACAGATCTAACCTAGGAGGAACAGGAAGAAGCCCAGAGCCAAGAATGATGCAATCATCTTAGGAGACCTGGCTAATTGCTCATGCAATGGCTGCTTTGGCAGGGCTAGTTATCAGTTTATCTTTAGTCAGGGCTTACTAGTTAGAAGCAAATAACAAAAAGGTTGAGGCATCACAGGACCTGGTGTTAGTCCAGTTAGGATAACAAAGCAGGTTGTATTTAGGTTAGAATTATGGAAAGAAGAAGCTTGTTTTATGAGAAGTGAGAAGTCTGGTGTCTATAAGAGGTTATACCATGTGTTTGTTCAATTACTGATGAATGAAGAATGCCCACCCTGTGACAGACACTTGGCTGGAGAGAGGAGTGCAGGGTAGGAATTTGTAAAGATAAGTAAGTCGGTTATGGCTCAGCCCTTGGGGAATTCACAGTTGAGGTGGGTGTGGTGAGTGGAATAAAGCCCCCTGAACAGATTTTCAAGTCCTAATCCCTAGAATCCATGAGTATGTTATCTTACATGGCAAAGGGAAATTAAAGTTATTAATCAGATAATGTTAAAATAAGATTTTTCTGGATTATCCAGGTGGGACCAATGTCATTGCAAGGGTCTTAATAAGTGGAAGAGGAGGGAGGCAGAAGAGGAGGTCAGAGTGATGAGGTGTGAGGACTCAACCCTTTGTTCCTAGCTTTGAAGATGGAGGGAGGGGGCTAAGAGCAAAAGAATGTAAATGGCCTCTAGAAGCTGGGAAGGTCAAGGAAACATTCTGCCTTAGAACCACCAGAAAGGTATTGAATCTTGCTAACACTTTGATTTTAGTCCGGTGAGACTTGTGTTAAACTTCTGACCTTGAGAACTGAAATAATAATAATAATTATTATTATTATGTTGTTGTTGTTGTTTTAAGCCCCTGAGTGTGTGTAATTTGTTATGGCAACAATTAGAAAACTAATACAATGCAGAAATGGACACATGCATAATAATGGTTTAGTATGAAAAGTGCTCTAGAATAAAACCTCAAAAGCAGGTTGTGAGAATGCAGAGGACAGGACCTTATCTTGGAGAGAAGGATTCAGAGAAGTTTCCCCTGAAGAGGTAATATTTCAGATGGATGTGGAAGAAGTAGTCAATAGATACCTGGAAGAGTTAGGGCAGTTATGAAAGAGACTGGTTGTTGGTTTATGGAATGAAGAAAGGATAGTATGGCCCAGGCTGGTGTGGCTCAGTGGGTTGAGTGCTGGCCTGTGAAAGGTTGCTCGTTCAATTCGAGTCAGGGCACATGCCTCAGTTGCGGGCCAGGTCCCCAGTGCAGGGTGTGTGAGAGGCAACTGATATCTCTGACACGCTGATGTTTCTCTCCCTCTCTTTCTACCTCCCTTTCCCTCTCTCTGAAAGTAAATACATAAAATATTTTTTTAAAAAAGAGAGGCTAGTATGGATGAAGGGCAAGATATGGGAGGGAAGTGGGGTGGGGGGAGTGAGAGAGACAATTGCTGCCTCTACCCTTCTCACTTAGAAAGTGCTGAAGGGCCCAAGTTATTGTCTGTCCTCCTTGGCTGATGTAAGAATAAGCTTAGTGGAACTAAGGCCTGCCACAGCTGTGTTTGTCACTACCACCCTCTGCTCCCCCCATTCTCACCATGAACTCCACTGAAGGGACCTTCCCCTTCACCAATCCCAGAGCAAGGCAGTGATGAAGAGAGAAGCCAGGAGCCTGCTTTCATGTCTTGAAACTCTCAATCCAATTCTGCCCTGGCTCTGAGGGATGGGCTGAAAAGGAAGAGCTGGGGAGGGTATTAAATTGTAGTAGGAATCTTCATTCTTCTTAGAAATGTCTGGTCTGGTGGTGGGAGGGAGGTATGGGGGCTGGGTCAAGAGGTGGGGGTGGGGGCTTTCTTGGAATTTACAATCTTCTGGGTCCTTGATTGGCAAACTCTCATCAGTAGCAAAAGAGGAGACTGGCCCAGTTCCCAGGAAGGGGTACTGGGCTTGGAGGTTGAGAAAGAGGGGGAGGAGGGGATGTGGCTTATCTCAAGGCGCTGGGGACTCTGCCAATCCTGGCAGAGGCCACAGGCAAGCATGTTTTTTTTTCTGAGGCTCCTTGTTTCCATGCCCCTCCTTTTCTCTGATTTCTACTCCCATCCTTGGCACCAGGACCTCTGGAGAAAAAGGAAGAAAAATGACTGGGGAAAAGGAGAGCAAAAGAAAGAAAGAAAAAGGAAAAGAAAGAAAAATGAGTGGGCAGAAACAGCTGGATGCAGTCAAGAGCACATCTGGCCTCCCAGGCTGTTTTCCTCAGTTCCCCCTCCCCCCACACTTCTTGCTCCTTTTCAGGCTTCTGATAGGAGGACTGTAGTGGATCTGGGGGGAAGGTGGGGGAATTACAGTGACGCCGGGCAGGGGTGGAGTGGGGGAGAAAGTTGTTCAAAATATTAACTGGTCGTGTGAGGTGGCCTCTTGGCTGGAGCCTGACCACCTAACTTCCTGTTTTTCTTCCAGCTGCCTCCTCCCCTCCCTCCGCTCTGGGCTGGAACTAAGCTGGGGGAGGAAGGAGGAGCAGCAAAGTTGGCTAGGGTCTCTTGTCTGATTCCCTGCAGGCTGGGGGCCAGGAAGGCCTCCCTAACCAAGCAGGCGGGAACACATATAGCCCTGAGTCGGATTGTTGCCTCTCAGCACTTGCTCTTCTGGCCACAGCAGGAGCGGGAGGCTCCTGGAAAACCCCAGCTCCTCGCCAGCTCTTCCATGAGCACACCCTGGTCCTGGGGCCTGAGATCTCTCCATGCAGGAGCAGTCAAGAACTCCAGAGGCGGCAGCAATGAGGACTACACCACCCGCCCCACCACCTCCAGCCCCGCCGCCCAGCCAGCCGTTGGTTCCTTCACTACCAGTGTTTGTGGATCATGCGAAACAACCAAGTGAGTGAGGAAGGAAACATGGGGGGAGAGGGAGGTGGGGGTGTGAGGTGTGACTTTCCCAGACTGGAGGTGGTTGCCTGTGCTATCTTCCCTTTTTGCCCTCAGGGACAAACATGGGAGGCCTTAGCAGGCTGCCTGTCAGGGGGTATGGGGACACTGAAATGTGGATCTGGGTAGGTGTTTTGACTCCGCTGGTTTGCCTTTCTGTGCTCCTACCACCCTCTGTCTTCTTTGCCCCCCCCCACTTTCTTCTTACCCCTCTCTGTTCCCAGGCAAGGAACTCATTAAGCCCAAAGCAATTTTAGGGCGCCCAGTAGAGAGACCAACGGACTCTGCTGCTGCTGATGCTGCTGGTGCTGCTGGTGCTGCTGGTGCTTTTGGTGCTGTTGGTGCTGTTGATGCTGTTGGTGCTGTTGGTGCTGTTGGTGCTGCTGACGAGTGCCCGGGACCAGGTGCCAGGGGAGTTGCAGTCAAAAACCATCGTTGTCAGGTCTGCCGACCCCCCAGCCAGTTTCTCAAGTCAGGCACTTCCTACTCCTTGTGGAGGCCAAGGGATCTCTAAGGCCCTCCAGCTTCCTCTGTCACTCCCATCTTCACTCCACATTTCCTGCACTTAGCCTTCCTTGGCATCTTCTCTTTTTATCCCCTCCCCCACCCCCTTCTCCACCCCGTTTTTCAAAGTTATGGACAAAGGATTAAGAGACATCCCTGCCCCCATCTTACCCATGTAGTCTGCGGTTGCCTGTCTGTGACTCTTCTGCTGTATACCATGGCACAGTTGTTCTCTCAGAGTCACCAGGCATCTCCTAAGATCCCCTGAAAGACATCTGTTTCCAGGCTAGGCTGGCTTTTCTCCTGGAATTGCTGGGCCCAGGAGAGATTCTGGCTAGTCACTGTGACTACATCTGAGAGCTGGCTGTCCTCCTGATTCTCGAAGACCCAGGAGGAAGACACACCTCCAGCTCCCAGCCTGGGGTAGCCTCCCTTGGGTGCCTGGGCTGCCACATCACTTCTGTGGCCCTCAGCCCTCTCCCTGCCCTGGCCAAGCCTGGGAGGGGAGAGGAGAGCAGGAGGACCTCGTCCTAATCCCTGTCATCCCTCCTCTTGCCAGCGGATCCGAGCCAGCCGAGAAGCAGGCTCACAGTTTGCCATGGAGGGCTTGGATGATAAACTGATCCTGAACGTGGGGGGCATGCGCCATGAGACCTACATCAGCACTGTGCGGGCCTTTCCAGGCACCCGTCTCTACAAGCTGACCGAACCACCCCCGCCTGGCACCCCAGCTGCTCAGGGTCCACCAGTTCGAGAGTTTTTCTTTGACCGAAATCCCGAACTCTTTGGCTACGTGCTGGGCTACTACCGTACTCGGCAGCTGCACTGCCCTGCCAACGTTTGTCGGGATGTCCTAGAGGAGGAGTTGGCTTACTGGGGCCTGGCAGAAGCGCCACTGGCACCTTGTTGCTGGCTCAAGCTCAGTGGCAAGGAGACCCGAACCCAGGACTTTCTGTCTTGGGAAGCCTGTGAGAATGCCCACATGGATGAACGCCTTCTGCTGAACCCCATCGAAGGCCAGGGACTGCGGAATGCTTGGAAGCCATGGCTCTGGGTGCTTCTTGACCAGCCCCAGTCTTCCCTAGGGGCCAAGGTAACTTATTAAACAGTGTTGTAGCACCATGCTAGACACTCTCCCGCAGGGCCCTGCCAAGTTGCCACAATGGCCGCACATTTGGCTTGGTGCTTGGGCCCTGAATCTACAAGTACCCAGGAGAATTTGAGGGGATTCCAAAAAGGGAGGCAAAAAAGGGTGGGGTCCAGTTAGAGAAGTGGGGATGGCTGGTAAATGGGGGTACTTCTAACATGCCTCTTTTCCCCCAGTGCCTTTCCCTGATCTCCACACTCTTTGCCGTGTGTGCTCTGGTCATCTTCTTCCAGGAGACGGAGGTCCAGCTGGATTACTTCTCTGCCAACTTCACTCCTATGGGACATGGGGTAGGGGTGGGGGAAAACCATCGGCAGCAGCAGAACAATGGTCTTGTTTACCGCCGTGCCCCCCACCTGCTCTACCTGGAACTGCTTTGTGCCCTTTGGTTTGGAACTGAGCTCTTTGCCCGGGCCATTTCCTGCCCTGATAAGGTGCGCTTCCTGTGTAGCCCTCTCAATCTTGCTGACATTTTCTGTCTGTTCCCTGTGCTGGTGGAATTAGTGGTGGGTGACAAGGCTGAACAGCAACCACGTCTCAGCCTAACACTTGGGGCCATTCGTTCTCTCTATGTCCTCAAGCTGGTTCGTCTCTTGGGCTTCCTTGAAAAGTCCCTGGCCATGAGAGTCCTGGTCCACACCCTTCATTCTTCTTGGAAGGAGGTGTGTGCCTTTCTCCTGATTTGGGTGGCTGAGATCTTATTCTTTGGCTTGCTCTTCCTCTATGGAGAGCTTTTGGGCATGTCCACCCCAGGTCAGGGTGAGCCCCACTTTGGAGACATCTTTACATGTCTCTGGTGGACTGTCATAACTCTTACCACTGTTGGGTATGGAGATGTCTACCCCCTCTCTGCTCTGGGCCAGCTCACTGCTGCTGTCACAGCCACTGTGGGCATGTGCACTGGTGTCTTGCTGGTTCCTGTGCTCCTGGTCCGTTTCCAGCGCTATTATGCTGTAGCCCTGGCCCGCCAGAAACTGAGGCCTAGTGGGATTCTGTGATGGGCCCATTGGTCAAAAGGTGGACCCCACCTTCCCTTCCTTCCTCTTGCCAGTTTTTGGTTACAGATAAGGATTTCTGGCCTTAGATTTGGCACAGAATTTTTGAAGAGTAATCCCAGGTCATGGCAATCTCTGCTAGTTAGTATTAGCTAGCCATGGCCTGAAGGGTAGACTCTACCACCCCACCCCCACCATTATCAGGGATGGGTGGGAGCCTGAAGGAAAAAAGGGTTAGGGGAAGGCCAGCTAGGCCTCAGCTTCTCTCTGCTCCACCCTAGGCCTTTCTCTTAATCCTGAAGTGACCAGGAATGGTAGAGTATAGTTCTTCCTGAATTCCTGGATTGGTGCTAAATCCCCCTCTCAACCAGTTCTCCCCTCCCATCCCCTTATTGATGTTCCCCATACCTTCAACTAGATCATAGTTTAGATGGGGAACCTTTAGTGATGGTAGTAGTGAGATATTAATATCATTCACCCATTGATAGTGGATATCAATGATGATTGGCTGTGGGTATTGATAGTAACTGTCTGTGAATATCTCACAACAACTGGTTATGAATATTGATGATAATCAGTACCAGCAATGCCCAGGCATAGCCAGATTGTAGCATTGGTCTCTATTACTGGTCCTGGGACAAATGCTCCTTAGAGCCATAAGGAGGCCTTTGGAGATTCTCAGAGACTAAACAGAGGCGGGTCAGCCAGGTCTGAACCCGGGAAAGCTCTCTAACTCCATAACGTCCTCTTCATCCCATTGTATCTCTCCCTACTCCTTCCCTCTTTTCCCATCTCTGTGATTTTTAAAATAATATTTTAGATATAGTATTAACCATCATTAACCACAATATATTAGTCAATATTAACCACACTATCTCAGCTACAATAACACTATATAGTCACTAGTAGACATGAAATGTTATTGCTACACATTACATGAACGGGATTGAGGAAATTGGATTTGTTGGCAAGAGTAGGCAAGCAATTTCCTCTTCCATATATTTTTTAACATTTGTTTGGATATACTCATTTATAATTCTTTTTAATTTTTTCCAAACACTTTTCAGTACCCACAACGGGTCTACCTCCAATCCTAGCTGCTATTGAATATTCCCACCTTTCCATGTCTTCTTCTCCTGTCCTTCCTCCTTTTTCTACTGCCTGCCTGCTCTTCGCTCCTGGCGTCTCCTGTGGTGCCAACAACCATATACCTCTCCTGGAACTGGCTTCCAGGAGGGAGAGAAGGGACCTATTCAGGTCTGACTTCAAGTGAAGCCACTGGGGTGTGTGAGGAAGTGCTCCAGGCAACTGGGCTGAGCAGGGAGGTAGAACTGAACTCTCACTGTTGCTGAAGCTGTGAGTATAATTCTGTTTACAAAACTTTTAAATAAAGTATCTTTTGAACTCTCCATTCCAGGGTCTCTCTGTGATTTTGTGGGGAGAGGCTTATGGGCATCAGCAGGGATAGGGGTGGTGTAATAAACTAATGAGAAGATTAGTTTATTATTATTTAAATTATTTGGTAGGGTAAAACAATTTGCTGTCTTTCTTGCATCTGTTTCTCAGAATAAACTATTATCACACACTCTGATGAGGAAAGAACATTTTGTTTTTGGTGGGAACAAGGTGAGGTGGGGAAGAAGACAGGCACAGGAGTTGGTGAAGTAAAGCGTAAGGCTGGCTATGCTGTTTAGGGCATGGTGGTGGAATCCTTAGGCACTTAATCAGAGGAGCTTATGTGGGGAGAGGTTCTCATTTAAGAAACACTGAAAGAAGATCAAGATTATAGCAAAACATCAAAGATAATCTCCACCTTCTTACTGCCTAGAAATGGAAGATATTGGAACAACTTGCTGCTTTCAGAGAATTCTAGTCCACTGCCCTTAAGTTAAAAATGGGAAAAAATGAGGTGTAGTGAAGGCAGAGGATTTCTCAAAGGCACACAGAAGTAGTGGTAAGTGTGGGGGTTCTGTCACTTCAGAGGACTACTATATCAATCTTTGTTAATTTATCAGTATTAGAAGTGGATAAATAGAAATTCCAACCAAACTTAGAGACCACTGTACCCTGTTGCTGGAAGCAGCAGTGGTGGCAGTGGGATGGGGTAATGGAGGTGGAACTAGATTGTTATGGAGATCTTTGAAAGCTTGAATGAGTAGGGTGGGACCTTAGACTTGAAAGGGCTTTAGGGAATGGCTGGGCCCTATTTGGTTAGAGGGTGAATGCCACAGAACATTATAAAAAGAACCAGGTAGAATGAATGTCAGGCTTGGGAGAAGCCTGGGAGCTCATCAAATTGAACTCCCTCCTGTTTCAAGTGGGGAAACTGAGGCTCAGAGAGAGGCTGGGACTTGACCTGGCTTATATAGTGAGTCAAGAGCAGAACTAGAGCTGCAATCACTTCTGCATACAATAAGGAACATTGTCTTCCTTTGTTTTGCCCTTTACATCTCGGTTGGATGGTCAGACATTTTAACCAAGAAGGAGGGAAGGGTGAGGGGAGTATAGAGTTTCATGATCTGCCTAGTACTTCCATAATAAATCATTGTAGAATAACAGTGATGAAAGTCTTAGTATTTGCATATTTCTGTAACAGAATCCTATATCTGCATCTCTCCTAACCCTATAGCACATAATGCCTTGCAAGAATGAGCCCACAGATTGCCCCAAATTTAGTGATACTCCAAGACTGAGACAACAAATCCCCTGAACTTCAGGACCTTTCCTAAATACTGATCACTCCCCAGTATCTTCTCATGATTTATGTTCTCACTTCCATACTAAAGTCATACTGGGTCTTTTGCCCAGGTATGAATTGCTTCTACTCTGAGGAAGGTAGGGAACAGATGAGGATGCAGAAAAACACTTTAAGTTAACCAGCTCCTTCCATATGTTACAAAGAGTTCTTTGTCTCACATGTGAAAACTTCTCAGCCATGAAAGTAACACATTCTCATATCTGCCTTCACAGCCTAGTCACACTCCATCCTCAAACATTCACGCATATCTCCTTAAACGTGTGAAAAAGTTACTTGATAGGGTAAAAAACCTTTTTTACCTGCTTTACCTATGTCAGAGACCCCTGACCATACGCTCTGTACAGCCCTGAAAAGTCTCTTGTTACTGATGACAGGGAACGAAAGTGCAATCCCCCTGCACAAGCTTCTATCTGGATTCCTTTCATTAAGATGGGGCGGGGAAGTCTTTGGGCCAACACTAGTCTGTGTGTCTGGCCCTATCTGGCAAAGCATCCAGTCGTCCCCCGTACCCCGGTATTCCACTCTTGCCTCAGGTCTTGAGCAGTTGCCTTAGCAACTGCTTTCTAGCTGGGCCTGCACTTCCCGGTCAGACCTACAGAGGGCAACCACTACTAGATTATGAGAAATTATTCTGGGCGTGGCCTCCCCCTCACTTCCTTTTTTAGTGCCTGTAAAATTCTAGAACCACAAGCTGTTAGAGGGTGTATTTAGATAACTTATATTTGGATTCCCTCACGATACAGATAAGGAAATTGAGGCCCAGAAAAAGGATGAGACCAGTCTGAACTCAGGCTATGATTCACCCTGTAGCAGTTAGAGCTAGAATTCACATTTCCTGAATCTCAGTCCAAAACTCTTAAAACACAGTGTTAAGCATCTAAAGCAAATACATCATTTTATAGTAGCAGATCTGAGGTTTGAAGGGAAAAAAACTTTTCTAGGGTCATATAGTTGTGACAGGGCTAAGACTTAAACCCAGGCATTCTAAATCTAGGACTCTTGAAAGATAATGTTAGGCATCTGAGAGGGAATGCAATTTGCCTGAAGTCACAGAGTAAATTACAATCAGAAATAAAGCCCAAGGCTGGATGTAGAACTGGGATTGAATAAGATTTGGGAATTTTAGCTTCTTATCTCTCAGAAACCTCAATAGCTTGGGGATTTGGAATCTCAGAATTAAATAGTGGAGGAAGGGGTACAATACTTGCTTAAGCTGATTTTTTAGCCCCTGGGAAGCTGGACTTTGGGGCACAGTGTGTATCTGTGAGGGGTTGCTCTGTGCACTCCTGTTCTGGCCTCCCCTTACAGGAAAAAAAAAAAAAAACCAACTCATAACGAAAGGCTCACCTCATTTCTCCCCTTTTAAATCCTCTGGCTTTAAGAGTGAGAGGATGACTCACTTGGCGCCCACAGTCGCCGAGAACATAATTGCTAGTTGGGACATCACCATAGCACCCAGCCATCACATTTGCAGAGCACTGTCTTGTTTTTGTCAAAGCTCTTTCCTATCCATTATTTTTTCATTGCAACTTCTCTGAGCTCTAGGGAGCCAGATGAGGCAGATATCATTAATCCTTTTTTATAAAGAAGAAATGAATTTATGGGGATTGGTGAGGAGGGGACTCTTGGCTGAGCAAGTTTAGAAAGCACTAAGACTAAATCACTTCATCCTTTGATTTCCAAGCTTCTGGATTGTTCCATGTAAATACCCAGAGCCCCAGAGGAAGCACCAGGGTCTTCCAAGTGCTCTTATGGCAGCTCCCTCCCTCATTTATTTATCACTGAGGTGGAGCCAGATACTATTGGGATTTTCAACTGATGGTGTTGAATCAATTTTATAATCTTTTCAGAGCACTTTACTATGAACCAGGAGACCAGCATTCTAGTTCCAGTTCTTCCATTACTTGGCTGTGGAGTGGTGGGCTGTTCTCATCCTGTCTGTGAGTCTCAGTTTTCATATCTGTAAAATGACAGGGCAGGGGAGTGGGAAGATTAAGTATATGGTTGTTAAGAATCTCTGGCTCAGATCATCTAGGACATGAAGAACATTTGTGATCTGTGAGGAATGACCTCTCTTTGAATGAAAGGCTGGAGGGTAGGAGCCAGTTGGCCCTACTATGATCCTTCATCCTGCTGCCTGTCCCCTTAGCTCTGTGGGCTTTTCCTCAGAGAATGGGGAGGTTGATCTTCCTGAATCCCTCAGAAAGACATCATGCTTTACCTCTACTAACCAGCAGCACTCAGGAAGCATCAGAGCTATTTTGGGTTGGAAGCTATTCAGCCACATTCACACCCTAGGGTTGGGAGTGGGTCAGAGAGCAGGAGATAGAATCAGAGACAGAGAAATGTAGGAGATAGGGAGGATTAAAAGAAGAGGAAGAGAAACAGACAAGGAGAGAGGAGAGAAAAATGAAGAGGGAGAATAAGAGAGGGAGAAGAAAGGCAGGGATACAGGGGAGGAAGGAAGAGAGAAAGAGAGGAGAAGAGACAGAGAGAGGAAGAGACAGAAGAGAGAGGGAAACAAAGAGAGAAGAGAGAGACAGCAGAGAGGAGAGAGAAGGAATGATAATGGTAGTAGGCATATCTATTACCAGATGTAATCCTGGGAAGAGCTGCATAGAATCCTGCATCTTATAAAATCCAGAACTGGAAGGATCCTTGAAAAAATCAAGGCCAGAGAGGGATGAGACTTGCTCATAGTCACACAGAAAGCTAGTGGCAGTGCCAGGACTCAAATCCATGACTAGAACAAGGTAGCTAGTTCTGAGGTACCTCTGAGTAGCCTCTGAGACCCCAGAGGCCTGATCTTTGTAAGCCTGTCTTTGTAGGACTGTGAGCAATGCAATAACACAAGAAGAGCACCAGCACATTTTCTGACCTGGAGGAAACACTAGCATCAAGGAGTTGTTTTTTGTCCCCCCATCAGCTCTCCTCTGTGAACCAAGACACATACCTGTGAGGGCTGAATGGGATAAGTTCAGTTCACTAATATAGTGATTTTAATAGATTAGAAGCAGACTTCATGGAGGAGGTAACTTTAGGGTTGAGCCTTGAAGGATGAGATCATCAAAAAAATTTAATGTCAAAGGTGTAATTATCCTTCTGAAAATTTCAAACAACCCAGGAAAATCTAAAGTGGGTAGGATTTGATAGGTGCAGAAAGAAAGTCGTGGTTATAGCTCAGTTGAAGAACACAAGGGGCAGAAAAACAGGAGGTGGGCATGGGTAGGGAGATAGATGAGGTGCCATTTGCCTTGTAGAAGGCAGGGGACATAAATAGGGTCAAGAAGCCCCAGGTAGTGTTTACCTCATGAATGTTAGGTGTGTGGGTTGGCTTGTGCTGACAGTGGAAAGGAAAGGAAGGATTTTGAGCAGGGACAAAGCAAGAACAAAAGTGAACTCCGGAATGATTCCCTCTGGCGGGCAGCCTCATGGAAAATAGATTAGTGGAAAGATACTAACATCAGGGAGTCCTGATCAATGATCTTTGCCATAAGTCCAGACACTAAATAGGTAACAAGAGTCTGATGTGGTGTAGTAGGAATGGGTGTGGATGTGGTGTGGTGTAGGGTGGCTTTCTAAAGTTTCTATAGAAAAAATACTTTGTAGTACTTGAATTAAGAAAATTGGGGGGAGGAAGGGAAAGATGAGCA